GAAACAAGGTCTTACTAAGTTATCCAGGCTGGCCTCTAAATTGGAATCCTCCTGAGTCACTGGGATTATAGGCCTGTGCCATCATGCTTAGTTCTTAGTTGTTCAATTTTTTTCCCCCCAAAGCCTATAAACATGCTCAAATAGTTGCCACTATTTTGGGAATTGCACCCAGTGGTGCTTTACCATGGAGCTACACCCCATCCTTTTTAATTTTTATTTTGACACAGGGTTTCTTTTTTTTTTTTAAATTTTTAAAAAATTTCTTTGTAGTTGTAGATGGGCAGCATATCTTTATTTATTTTTGTATGTGGTGCTAAGGATTGAACCCAGTGCCTTACACATGCTAGGCAAGTGCTCTGCCACTGAGCCACAGCCTCAGCCCCTTGACACAGGGTTTTACTAAGTTGTTTTGGGCCTTGTTAAGTTGCTAGGGMTGACCTCAAACTTGGAACCTCCTGCCTCTTACAGGTATGTGCCACTGAGTCCAGCTAGCTCCCTCATTTTTTTTTTCCCCCTTTTGGTACTGGGGATTGAGCTCAGGGGCACTGAGCCACATCCCCAGCCCTATTTTGTATTTTATTTAGAGACAGGTCTCACTGAGTTGCTTGGCACCTCACCATTGCTGAGGCTGGCTTCGAACTCATTATTATCTTCCTGCCTCAGCCTCCCTAGCCACTGGGATTATAGGCAAGCACCACCACTAGGATTATAGGCAGGCTCTCTCCAGAAAGCTCCCACTTTTTTTTTAATGGTTTATTTTTTAATATTTTTTTAGTTGTAGTTGGACACAATATCTTTTTTATTTATTTATTTTTATGTGGTACTGAGGACCCAACCCAGGGCCTCGAATATATATGCTAGGCAAGCCCTCTACTGCTGAGCTACAACCCCAGCTCAGCTCCTACCTTTTTTAAAAACAAATTTTCAATTTTTTTTTTTTTTTTTGATACTGGGAATTGAATACCTGGACACATAACCACTGAATCATATCCCTACTATCCTCAGCCTCTTTTTATTTTGAGATAGTATCTTGCTACATTGCTTACGGCCTCACGAAGTTGCTAAGTCTGGCCTTAAACTTGTGATCCTCCTGACTCAGCCTCCCAAACCATTGGGATTACAGGTGTGCATGTGTCACCGTGCCTGGCTCCCTCTGTCTTATTTTAACCACAATTCTGGAGTGCTTTCCATTTGTTTACTTCAAACATTTTCAAAGCATTAAATGAACTTCTTCACCTCTCATCATCTTGGTCATCAGACTTCTTATACCTGCCTTCAAATGTACTACAAGCTTCCTAATTGCCAAAATAGGGGACTCTTTATTTTTTTCCCCTGGTGGTAGGGATTGAACCCAGAGATTGCACATGCAAGGTAAGCACCAAGCCACATCCCCAGCCCCACATAGGGCACTCTGAGTTTTTTTTCCTTGTGATTCTTGTCACTAAGTCGTGAAGTAGCTCAGTTGATCACTTGCCTAGCACATGGAATGTCCTGGGTTCTACCTCACCCCATTTTCTTTTCTTGTCTTGGAAACTCCACTCTGATTCTCTTATCCTCTTCAATTATACACTCATTAGATTGGTAAACCTTAACCCAGATCTCTTACCTGAGCTTCAGACCCATATTTTTATTATTAAATCTACATTTCCACTTGAATCCCCCCCCCYTTTTTTTGGTAGTGCTGGGAATTGAATCCAGGCCTTCTGTATACTAGGCAAGTGCTGTACCATTGAGCTACACCCTACAACTGTCCACTTATGAGTACTTTATGACTAAACTCATTACTCTTCTGAATTTAAAAAAAATTTTTTTTAGTTGAAGATGGATATAATACCTTTATTTTGTTTTGTTTTTATTTGGTGCTGAGGATSGAACCCAGTGCCTCACACATGCAAGGCAAGTGCTCCACAACCCCAGTCCTACTTTTCTGAATTTTATCATTTAATATTCTCATATTCAAGCCTGGAAATCATCTTATGGAACTGTTATCTGTCCTAAAGACAGCTGGGCTCCTACCAGTTATTGACTTCTCAATTTCCTTACTGACTTTCCTCTCTGTCTTCTGCTAAGGTCATAGTCACCTTTTGTCCCATCCTAACCCATTCTTTACATACTGCTTCTAGAATAAATTTTTTTTTTTAAATTATAAACTTGTTTTTCATTTAAGACAATGCCAAGGTGGTTGCGGTGGTGCATGCTAGCAACTTGGGAAGCTAAGGCAAGAGGATTGCAAATTTGAGCCCAGCCCCAGCAACTTAGTAAGACCCTGTCTCAAAAAGTACTGGGGATGTGGCTTAGTGGTAAAGCACCTCTGGGTTCAATAAAAAAAAAAAGCCAATCCCTTCATTTTAGTATCCAAGGTTTTCTAATATGGCTTCTGCTGAATTTCCCAGCCCCAGTTATTATTACTCTTCACAATCTTCTAGTCAGCCCAAATTAAATTTTTGTTTTGAGACAGGACCTCACTATGTTGTCAAAGCTGTTCTCAAACTCCTTGGCCCAAATGAACTTCCCACCTCAGTCTCTTAAGTAACTGAACCCTTCATAATCTTCCACTAGGCCTGGTTTATGCCTTTGTTCCTATGGTACAAATAAATGCGTTTGCTTCTCTCTACCCTTGCAAACTGTCTATTCATTTTCAAGATTTAGCTCATATGTCTCTCTTTTCCACTAGTCTGAATTCAAGGATAGGGATCATATTTGATTCTTGGTGTCTTGTTAATGCAAAGCCTGACATGAAATAGATACTCAAACCATGATTATTGAATAAATGAGTCTGGCCTGTGTAAAGATAAAGCTGCTGACAACCTAAAGGGATTTAGCCAGGCCCTGAGATCCTGTACTGGTAGAGAAAGTAACCTGGGTGAATAAATGTACACAAGTCAGGTTTCTAGGAGATAGCCTAGAGCTGGGTGTGCATGGTGCACATCTATAACCCCAGTGACCTGAGAGTCTCGGGGCAGGAAGCTTGGGCTGCTTAGTGAGAGCCTCTGTTAAAATAACAAGTAATAGAGCTAGGGATGTAGCTCAGTGGTAGAGCGCCCCTGGGTTCAATTCCGAGTACCACCAAAAAAAAAAAAAGCATAAGACTGGGAAAGTGGGACCCAGCTAAGCAAAGAGTCTACTCCAGGATTTGTACTTTTCATTCCCCTCTCCTTCTCTTGAGTGGCCTTATTTCAACTCTTTTTGAGTTTCCCTGCTCCCTCTGTATGGGGATGACTGAGCCCTATATCCCTATTCTCCCAGGCAGGAACCATTGAGGAGAAGATATTCCAGCGGCAGAGCCACAAGAAGGCACTGAGCAGCTGTGTAGTGGATGAAGAACAGGATGTAGAACGGCACTTCTCTCTGGGCGAGTTGAAGGAGCTCTTTACCCTGGATGAGGCTAGCCTCAGTGATACACATGACAGGTGGGTTGACTGCCCTCACTATTATCTCTCAGCTACCTGCTCAGCATAGAAATGGGGTCTGTAGTGACCACAGCTCTGTCCTCTGACCCTAGGCTGCACTGCCGCCGTTGTGTCAACAGACGCCAGGTCTGGCCACCCCCTGATGGTTCTGACTGCACTTCAGACCTGGCCCAGTGGAACCATAGCACTGATAAGCGGGGGCTCCAGGATGAGGTACTCCAGGCTGCCTGGGATGCTGCCTCCACTGCCATCACCTTCGTCTTCCACCAGCGTTCCCATGAGGAGCAGCGGGGGCTCTGCTGATAACCAGCTGGTCTGWGTGTAGCTGTTAGCAGAAGGGTACAGGGAAAAGGGGCTACCTGCCCCAAGGGTCCTGCTGAATTTTGTTCTCTGGGAGAAAATCATCAAGAAGGGCTGYATGATGTTTGCCCAAAATTTATTTTATAAGAAAAACTTTTCTGGTTAAAAAAAAGAAAGGAATAAAGGTATGAAAGGGACTGAGGCCTGGGAACAGTGTGGTAAGCCCATAGGGAAAAGGCCTGGTAGTAGGCATTCCTATACTTTTCTAAAGCCTGGGTACTTGCTTGAGGTGGGAAGGCAGGACCCCAGGAGGGGGCTATCCTCAGTGATAGTGATGACCACTATAACCTCTCGGCCAGGGTTCTCTGGTTTTGAGTAAGGGGCCCAAAGGCTCTAAACCCAGCTGTGAGAATGTCTTTGCTGGGCCCTGTCAAGGCCTCCAGAACCTCAGTGCCAGGGAAGATGGAAAAGAGAGGGAAAGGGTGGCAGAAAGAGAAAGACAGAACTGGTGATTGGGGATTCTGGGCAGCCCATGCCTCAGCCCCTGCAAGCTGATGGTACTGAGCATGGATCTGTGAGGTATGGGCCCCATCACATGGTGCTGACATAATCCGCGAAAGCCTGGGATGAGTCCCACGAGTCGCTGACCACGTGGCAGGTGGCCCGGAGCCGCCGGATAGCTTCCCTGGCTGTGACTGCATCTTGGTCCAGCCAGTTCTGGAAGAGACGCAGGTGACCAAAGGCTCCACGGCCCCAGCGCTCCAGCCGCTTGGCAAACTCCAGAAGCCCATCTGGCTTGATGCAGTTGGAACTGGTAGGGATGAGATAGATTAGATATCCAGGAAGCAATTCATCCCTGTTAGATATCCTGTGGTCCCATCCCTCCCTGCCCACTACCATGTACCTGATGTCCAGCTGACAGAGAGAAGAGGAAGAATCCTCTGAGAAAACATCTGCCAGGGCCAGCAGGCCAGCATTCCCTAGATAAAAGGGGAGAAGTGCCCATTACCTCTACCAAGAACAGGAATGTGGGTATTCCAACCTGACTCTGACCAGGAGAAGCCTAGCCTATCAGTTCCTAAAGCCCCAGCACATAAATGTTTATACTCCAACCTTCCTATTCCCAGTGGAGAGGTTTGTGTCTATACGTAGTGAGTTTCTAGGTCAAAGGCCTGGCTCCTTTCCCCTCTCCCTCCCTAGGGTCTGGTCCCCACCCAGGCGGTTCCCTGGCAGCCGAAGGCCCTTCAGTGTCGAGTTGCCCTTCATAGCAGTCACCATCTCAGGCAGAAATTGGGCTGGGCGCTTCTCAAACAGACGGCAGAAGGAGAAGGTAATTTCTGTCAAGAGAAATTAGAGTAAATTCTAATGGTTGTATTAGGACTGSTGTTGCCCCTCCTGCCCCAGGTGGCCCTAGCAAAGTATGCAAACATTTTATAGAAACCCAGAAGGGGGAAGGAATTGTCCAAATCTGCAAGCAAGGCTGAAACTAAATAAGGATTTAAATGAGAGAGTAAGCCTAAATGTTACTGCATGTACACTTCCCCATTCACTTCCTTCTTTCCCTCTGTATCCACTGACCACCCTCTTTACAGGTGTGAAAATTAGAGACAAGGTTATGAGAAACTGGCACAGCACCTTTATTTCTCCCCACCACCACTATTTCTGCCAAGCTCTGAAAAATAAGAAATACTTTTGGGTGAGATACTCTAAAAGAGTAATTTCTCAGTGTTTGCAGAGGAGGAGTTGAGTTTGGGACTTTCAGAAGGAGGTTCATACAGGTTCTATGTTCTTTATAGTTGAGGATACAAGGTGAAGAAAAGAACACTGGTTTGCTCACTTAGTGAGACAGTGGAAGAACCACAATAAGAACAAAGATGTCTAGGTTCTGGAATAGGAACTCACCTTGAAGAGTCAGATTCTGTAGCAAAAAGAGCACCTCGCTCTGACAGTCAGCCAGATTCATGTCATGGAAGCTCAGCCTCTTCAGGGCTAGGTTGTACTCTGGATAGGAGACAGAGACCATGGGCCAACCTTAATGTTTCCAGAAAGCAATGCTAGATTCCTGCCTATACCTCTTCCACCGGCTGGATCCTACCTTTGAGTGTCTGCAACACAAGCCCAAAATCCTGGGGAGAGGCAAAGGTGGCACTATCCAGGGACAGCTGCTGCAGAGAACCTGAGGCCTTCAGAACAGAGCAAAGCAGTGGGGCTGGCTGGGCGCCTCGTGGAAATCCCATCTCCAGCTGCTCCAGACAGTTTTCTAGATGTGACAGGGAGAGAAGATTCTTATTGGTTCATGTCTACCTTTCTCCCATTCCATCTTTAAGGTATTCACTAAGAAAATCATTTATCTACTTGGCCTTGAGTTTCAGAAACTCTGCTAGGTTTTGGGAATAAAGCACTCAATAGGAGATTTGGCCCTTTCCCTCATAGAGCTTTTAGTCTAGGTAGACTAAACCACTCAGACACATCCAGGTATAATAAGGTATGTACTGTTGGGGGATAAAAGTCATAGAACTAAGGGAATGTGTAGCAGGGGGACCTAAACTGATCTGAAGGTCAGTTTGGTTCTTGGCTCAACTATGGCCAAGGTCACTCTTCTGGGTTTATGGTGGTCTGGGCTCTGTCTAGCCCAAGGTTACCTTACAGAACTGTAGCCTCCAAAGAGGAAACAGATTACAGCTCAGCCAGGAGTGAGTGGAAGCTGATCTGGAGTGGAGGTCCTCCTCTCCTCCCCACACAAATGCACATGCATATTTTTGTGGAGATATGTGTGTGCATACACATGCAGTACTTCACCTGGTATCTCCTCATCCCCAACTATGTGGTTAGGGGGCCCTGCATTCCCTGGCACTGCAGGGTTGTCCCGTTGGCTTGGGTGATCAACACGAATAGAGAGGACCCGCAGCAAGGGCAGGGCTCGCACAATGGCACGTGTCAGCTCCAGGATGGGCAGTGGTGAGAACAGGTCACTGAGATGCAGGGCACGGAGGCGACATCCAGCCTGGCCTGACAGGGCCCGCAGGCTGTCCAGCAGGCGGAAGATGTTAGAACCCAAGCCTACAACAGGAAAGAGTCATGGGGGAGTGTCAATAGCATTAACATTTAGAGACATTCAAGTATTTCCATTACTACCAAATCCAGTTTTTAAAAACAACTTGTCTCAATTATTTATCTCTCTTGCTTTTTCCTCAGGGAACCAGCAAACTGATGCCTACTGGGCTATGCCCTCAAATATCAGGGCAAGTCACAAAACGGAAGAAAAAAAWATGGCAGGTGGCATGTACTAGCAGCAGAATGCCAGGTTCAGAGAGCAGTAAAGGTTTTCAGATTTCTGGGTTCCAAGTAGTTTTTTGAAGAAGCCTGGCCTTAGATAAAATTTTAGACAAAGAAGGTATAGCCAAGGGTTACAGCTAGAAGGCAAGGAATGACTTTGAAGGCTTCTCTGGCTAGATGGGGGCTCAGGAAACTGAGATCTAAAGGGTRGGACAGTAGAGTCCATGTGAGAAGTCCTGAAAGCTAGGCTGAAGAGGTGGTTTGCTCTCCTATAGACCATTGGGAACAGGTATAAACTGAGTAGCAGAGTAACAGTGACCCAAAAGGGAATACATTAGAGACTCAATTGAGTGGGATTGGGATGGAGAAAGATAATCACATCTACATTGGAATGTAGCTCAGTGGTAGAGTTCTTGTCTAGCAGGTTCAAAGCTCTGGATTCTATCCTTAGCACAGGAAGAAACTAAAATGAAATCCATGTTSCACAGAGTAAATAGGACCCAGAAGGATCCTTGGAATCTGTTCCCTTCCGGACTGTGCTGATTACTGTTGATTTGTTTATTTATCTAAGCTTTATCCAGTAACTAAGTATGCGATGAGATTTTTTTTTTTTTTGCGGGGGGGTGGGGTGTTAGACACTAGTAAGCAGCACATGTGATGGAACTCGGAAAGTAGAGTATGATGAAAGTACAAAGGTTTGGATACCTAACACCTAGTCTGCCTTATTATCAGTAAGGGCTTTCTAGTTGAGTCCTAAAGAATAAAGGAGACAGGTTAAGAAAAGAGAGAAGAGTGGTTGTGGCACAGAAAGGACATATAGAAGGTTAAGGAGTAACAGGTTCTAAGAACTAAAAAATACTTGTCACAGAGCTAGGGTTGTGGCTCAGTGGTAGAGTACTTGCCTAGCATGTGTGAGGCACTGGGTTTGATTCTCAGCACTGCAAATAAATAAATGAGCAAAATACCCACCAATATTAAAAAATTTAAAAATATTTGTTATAGCTGGGTATGTAAAATATAAGGGAAGCATTCAAGATAGAACTATAGAGGTAAGCAGGAGCAAAGACATGAATGACTCTTGAAGTAAAGTATGGGGATGTTCCATGGAAAGGTTTTTAGATAACTGACAAGTCATTCAAATCTGCAAGTTTAGAAGAATCCTTGTGCTGCAGTACACAAGGGACTATAGAGAGGAGAACTGTTGAAATGAAACCAAAGTAAGGAATAATGGTAGCCTGAATGAAGGATGTAGGGGTAGAGAAATAAATGGATTTGAGAGAAAAATGGGATCTGATGACCAAATATATATGTAGTGGAGGCAGAATTCTGGTTTCATTGTACAATTAAGCCAACTCTGATATCACTGAGAACATAAGATTAATATATAGAAGGTACATCCAAGGTTAGACATGAATAAGGTGTTGTCAGTTTGATACATGGGTCTAGAAGCTGAGGGGGAAGGTCTGGGTTAATTCATAGAATGAGGAATCATTGATAGTTGGCCACTGAAGCCACAGGAATGGATGAAATTGTCCTGGAAGGATGTGTGAAGTGGGAGAACTGTGAGGAACTCAGAACATTAGTAGCATTTGGAGAGGGAAAACATTTGGATTGCTGAGGTAGTGGAAATACTTCACAAAGAAGATTATTAATAGCAATTGCTGCCAAGATACATGTAAGATGGAGATTGAAAAGTATACATTGCATCTAGTAACAAGGAACTTGGTGATCCAGGTCCTTTACAATATACGTGGAGATAGACTAAATTTGTGTTGAGCAGGAGAGAATAGGGGGTAGTTAAGAGGATATAGATGAAGAGAGATACAGTGGTAGTTTTTGGTGGGGAGACAGTGAAAAGAAGGGAGGAGGCAGCATAGAATGGTTAAAAGCATAGGATTTTTTGGGGAGTATACTGGGGAT